GACGACGGCTAATGGGCCAGAGATAGCCATTCTAGTCCTCCTTTTCGTTTTTGCTAATGTCCTTCTGCCCATATCATTAGCCGCCTTGCGGTGGGGCTCGAGTGTGAACCCCAAAGGCACTAGAGCGAGACCAGTGTGTTTTGTAAATGATCGGTGTGCGCCTATCTGCCACTATATATAATGAATTGCTAGTTGCTAATGGCCCGGTTGTCTTTAGATTTTGACTGAGAACTGTAGCTGGCCTCTCAAATGAAGCAGATCAAGCCATCGTTAAGGGAAATGAATAAGGCACAAGTAACATAACTTTAACGAATACCCACAGTCCATATAAATACCTTTCTGACTTTTGGGAAAACTTTTCATAATCATTTTGTTCAGGAGCTAATGTACGTTCAAATGGTCGCAATTACATGGCCCTGACTTCGAGGGTTTATCGGATATCTGAGCATTCTACTACCGATTTTGTCAATAGCATTTTTTGTTGTTAGATTTGTTTGCTGATACTGGATCACTGAATAGCTTTTCAACGTATTTAATTTTTACTTAAGTCTGATAGTCGCAAACAACGAATAGCACGACGGGAAACCACTCACATTGTTCCACTAGAGGCAGTTTACTGTGAACCAAGAGAGCGCTTGATCCAGTGAAATCCTCGCGATTTGTGAAGTACTTTTCTGGATGGCTCATGAAGTCCGGGTGCACCAAATCCGGCCTCTTTATGATGGGACTAATTGCCACAGACTTAAAAGTAGACGATGAAAATAAGTGACCGTGGGAAACGTGACAGGGAGAGCAAAGAACGGTGTATAAATAAAAAAATGTGGACTTGGATTTAAAAGTATGTGGAGTGCGAACCCCAGTTGATTGGAAATTCAAATATTTACTAAACAATGTGGTTCGAGACTTACATAGTAGGGTCCGTAGCTAGGTCTCCCCAGCTTTTCTCCATAAAGAAATGGCATATCCGTAATCAGAGCCGGTTGCTGTCTCTGACGTTTGTTTAACCGAATTTCCCTGTATTCCTTGCCTGTAGGATATTATTGACCGATAGAAGTCATGTGTTCTATTACGATAAATCATTTGGACATTTGAATGTTGTTTAACATATACCTCGGTAGTTAAAAGAGTAAGTACATCACCCAAATATCTATTTATTATTTTTATTTAGAACTTGTGAGCAGATAAAGAAAATTAATATGAGCAGTCCTGAGTAACGGCAGGTACGTCATTTCCTTCCACGTCTATCCTTTCTGTTTATACATGAGATACGACGATTCAGTCTTTTTCAGATTTAACAGCAGTTAATGGGCTACGCTATTAAAGATTTACCATAATAAACATAATGGCAGCATGGGAGCATTACAGAGTTAAGAATTAAGGAAGCTTTTTTATTTCCATAAGTTTAGAAGTGCCTATTGGAAGACCACCTATATGACGGCTTACCCAGTATAGTTTTGTCCCAAACAACCAGCTTGTCCTTTATAGTAGCCAAGTAATCCTGATCATCCAAGTCATCGGGAGTAAGTATTTCAGAGAGGCCGAAACTGAAGTCCTTGCCACCCAGATTTTGAAAGGG